ATTGTTTCGGAGATCTTGAGATCTTTGGCTCCAAAGTTTGATCATGTGGTAGTTTCCATAGAAGAGTCGAAAGACATGTCAACTTTGTCGAAGGAAGAGCTTTAAGGGACGCTTGAATCTTATGAAAAAGAATGGCTGAAAGAACTACAGGCAAGTCGAAGAGTGATGTGGCTCTGCAAGCTCAATCAACAAAAGATAAGAAAGCCAAAGGAAAATGGTTCGACAACAAAGATATAGGTGACTACAACAATTGGAATGGTAGAGGAAACCAGCACGAAGAAAACATGTCGAATCAGAGAAAATAATACCAAGACAACCAAAGAGGTAGTGCTGAAGGTAGAGGAAGAAGTGGTGGTCGAAAACCTGACAAAAGTCACATTCAAGGTTACAATTGTCAGAAGTATGGTCACTATTATAGTGATTTTCCATAAAATCAAAAGAATAAAGAAAGTGATATGAAGTTTACAAAGTTTGAAGAAGAAGAGAAGTTATTGATGGTTACAACAAGGGATGAAGAAATATTCAAGGACCAATGACACTTGGATTCAGGATGCTCATCACATATGTTTGGAAGGAAATATTGGTTTGTTAACCTAAAACTCTCAATGAAGAACATGGTAAAATTTGTAAGTGACAATACTTTAGAAGCTGAAGATATTTGAGATTTTTTTATTATGAGGAAAGATAACAAAAGGTCAACAATTTCTAATGTGATATACACACCATACATGAAGAGCAACTTGCTCAGCATATGACAATTGGTAAAAAATAATTACAAAGTTTCGGTCGAAGACAAGATGAAGAAAGTCGTCGACGAAAATGCAATATTAATCTTGAATGCTCCTATGTCTTAAAATAGAACCTTTAAGATCGAATTTTATGTGATAGAGTACTAGTGACTTTCAACTGCAGCTAGCAGAGACGAATGGATATGGAACTATTGACTAGGCCATCTTAACTTCATAGGCATAAGAGATTTGAAGAGAATAAATATGGTTTCAGGACTGTCAGAAATCGACATTCCAAATAAAGTATGTGAGGAATGTGTGTAGGCGAAGCAACATAAGAATAGATTCAACAATGATGCAGGAAGCATGTCGAAGGCTATTCTCGAAGTCATATACTATGATGTATGTGGACCAATCTAGGTGGATTCAATGGGATGTAACAAATACTTTGTTACATTCATAAATGATTTCAGTTAAAAACTGTGGACTTACTTGATCAAGAAGAAAAGTGAAGTGATCGAGGTATTTGTCAAGTTTAAGTCTATGGTCGAAAGACAAAGTGACCGAAAGCTCAATATTTTGAGAACTGATGGTGGTGGAGAATATGTGTCGAAATACTTCGACAAATTATGTGAAAAAGAAGGGATTGTGCATTAGAGGTGCCACCCTACACAAAGAAAGAATCAAACCACCATGAATATGGTGAGAAGTATGTTGAAAGACAAGCATTTACCTAAAGAGTTTTGGGGTGAAGTTGTGTCGACAACAACATATATTTTAAATAGACGTCCAACGAAAAATCTAGAAGGAATTACTCCAGAAGAATGTTGGTATGGTGTAAAACCTAGTTTGAGTCATCTGAAAGTTTTTGGATCTATAATACATAGACATGTGTCAGATCAATTGAGAAGAAAACTTGATGACAAGTAGATTCAAATGATCCTAGTTGGATATCATTCGATAGGAGGTTATAAGTTGTTCGACCCAGTGGATAAGCATATTTTGATCAGCAGGGACGTGATCATAGATGAGCTTAAGGAGTGGGATTAGACTAAAAATGTCAAGAAGGATTCAGTGAGAATCTTACTTGAAGAACCAGAAACTCAAGTCGAAAGAGAAGTTCGACAAGAAGAAGTTATAGATCAACCAGGTACAACTAGACCTCAAAAAATAAGACGCATGTCTGCAAGGTTGCAAGATTGTATGATTACATCAAATGTTGTAGTTGATGATGAAGGTGAACTGGTACATTATGCTATACAGATGTCAAACTAGTCAATACAGCTGAAGCATTGAAGGATTAGAAGTTGGTGAAAGAAATGAAGGAAGAAATGAAGTCAATCGAAGACAAGAACACTTGGTCACTTGTCGAATTTCCTCAAGGAAAGAAGGAAATTGATGTCAAGTGAGTATACAAAGTGAAGATGAATCCCAAAGGGAAAATAACTTGAGACAAAGTAAGGCCTGTGGCGAAAGGATTTCTTTAGAAAAAAGGATTCGACTCCGGTGAGTTTTTTGCACCTATGGCTAGAATCGAAACAATCAGGTTGGTTGTTAGTCTTGCAAAAATGAACAGTTGGCACATATGTCAGATGGATGTGAAGTGTGCATTCCTGAATGAAACCTTAGACGAAGAAGTTTATGTTGTAAAACCAGTTGGATTTATGAAGTATGGCAAAGAGAGAAAGGTGTACATGATGCATAAAGCCATGTATGAATTGAAATAAGCTCCAAGAGCTTGAAATAAGAAGATAGATAGCTTTCCAAGGGAGAAGGAATTTGTGAAGTGCACAACTAAACATAGAGTATATGTAATAAGCTCCAAGGCCTGACTTAGCATACATTGTAGGTATGGTAAGTAGATTCATGCAGAAGCCAAAGGTATCACATCTAGCAGCGACGAAGAGGATATTGAGGTATGTGAAAGGAACCCTCGACTATGGCATTTTGTTTCCTGCAGTCAATAAAAGAAAAGAATAAAAGTTAGTGGGATACACTGATTCAAGTCGGTGTAGTGATGCTGAAGATCGAAAATCCATAGCAGGATATGTGTTTATGCTAGGTGGTACACCAGTTGCTATGAGTTCAAGAAAGGAACCAGTAGTGGCATTATCATTGTGCGAAGCAGAGTACATAGCTGTTTCTCTTTGTGCATGTCAAGCAACATGGATGGTGGATTTGGTCGAAGAGATAACAGGTAAATGTCACAGAGCAATTACCAAGAAGATCGACAACATATCTATCAATCTGGCGAAGAACCCGATAGCACATGGTCGAAGCAAGCACATCGAAATGAGGTTCCACTATCTTCGAGAGCAGGTAGCAGAAGAGAAGATGAAGATGAAACACTATAGAACTGAGAACTAGATTGCAAACATCATGACGAAGGATGCGCGAGTCGAATTCTTCAGAAGACTATGAACTATAATGAATATAGATAGCTTAGACACAATGAATTATGTGGTGTGTTGAAAGTATAATTCTTTGTGTCAAAGCATGTTGTTGCTCGAATACAAGGTGTGTCGAAGTGTTGTAAGCAGGTTGCTACACACAAATTTGATTTAGATTTAATCCAGATTTGATTTAGTTCTAAAAGGTATTTTGGGCTTTTGTGTTTTGGGTTTTGTCTTAGAGAGCAAGTTAACCTAAATTATAAATAGAGGGAGTAACCCCTATTTTTGTAATCAATTCATTCATTCACAGTATTTATAATTGCAAGTGAACAGAAAGTTTTTCACAGTTTGTGGGCAGAGAGTTACCCTGCAGAAACCCTAAATCCTATTTCTTCTTTAATTTTCTTTTCTTTTAATTGTCATTGTGTGATGATAACAATCTTATTCATCAAGATTGATAGAAATTCATCATAGATTTTAGTAGATTTCCAATAGAAATAACAATCAATTTAGATGATTATTTAATCTAATACTCACACATAACGATCAATATATTAAACATGCAGAAGTGGGTCTATCTGTCTGACTCATGCATGCATAAGTGGGGTGAGAAAATGAAGAAATGTGTTACTGAAAAATCTATCAAAAAGTGTATTTTTACATGTAAAGTCCCACATCAAAAATTATTTATCAACGAGAAGTGTTTATAAATCACTTTTACACGTCAATTTTCAAAACTTTAAGCCCGAATAGATCTTGAGTTTAAATCTTAAAAAATATTTTAATAATTAATTTATAAATTTAATTTCATAAAAAAATATTAATAAAAATAATTTAAAAATACATTAAAAAAAAGAAAGTAAAAATAAGTAATAAAAAAGTTTTAAAAAAATATATAAAAAAAGTAAAAATATATAATTATTAAAAAAGTATTTTAATAATTAATGTATAAATATAATTTCATAAAAATATTAATAAAAATAATTTAAGAAAATATAAAAAAAATGAATAAATAAAAGTAAAAGTAAGTAATAAAAAAGTAAAAAAAATATAATATATAAGAAAAGTATAAAAAAAAGAATTAAACAAGTAAAACGAATTTCACGTGGCATAGGCAAGGGGTATGATATATTTAATCTATATCTCATTGTATTTGCACGAAGTATGTATTTTTGGTTCTATAAAATTATTAAATTTTATTTTTGATTCTTATATTTTTCTTCTTCATATTTTGATCTCTATAAAATTATTTTGCATGTAATTAGTCGCTTCTGTTAAACTAATGTGTATTTTTGAATGATTATTTTGCAAATATGTTTAAAACGTTATAAAAAGTTTCTCTAAAAAAACTTAAAATTTAATTTTTAAATCGAAGTTTTTATTATTTTTATTATTATCTTTTGAAATTTAATAAATTCATATTTAATTATTCTCATTTTAAAAAATTCTAAAATTTAATATAAAAATATTTTATAGAATTTTAAACACGTATAGAAAAAATTATTAAAAAATTTAAAAATTTAACAATAATTAAATAATTTTCAAAATTTTAAAAAATAATAGTGATTAAAACCACATTGCATAAAATTTTAATAGGAAGTAAAATATATTATTTTTTTATAGGGACTAACAATAAAATTTAAAATATTTATAAAGATCAAAAACATATTTAATAAAAAAACAATTAGCTTAAAACATTTTCCCTTTCTATACTAGTTGAACAAATATATACTTTACATCTTTTGTGCATTAAGTGTGAGTAATTTACATTGAAATCACAAAAATATACACACTTTATGATGAAAAGAAAATCAGATTGGCCTAAATATATGATAATTCCCTTGAATGCTTCTGCTTGTGAAACAAAATCATGCTAATACTACTCCATGACTTGAGATGGCCACATTAGTTTCCATATGGAAATTTCATTCTCACTCTCAATCTTTCTTATTCCCCCATAAAATCCATCAACCTCATTTCCTTCCTCTCTATGATCTTTTCTATTGATACTTGTCTCTCTCCATCTTGAACCAGGAGTGTAATGCTTGAACTCTAGCACCACTGTGTCTGCATCATCACATTTATCATCATATTAGTTATGATTGAATCTGTAAGAAAAACATGATTTTGTTTATTGAGAAAACTTTTTGAACATAGATTGGCCATGATATGAATATGAATATATGAATATGTTCAATGATGACATACATGAAACGTTTTATGGACCATCTAAATAGCATATCAAGTGGTCCACATTTAGATATACATGCATGTCAATTTTTTCACTTTATAATCTTCCCCTTCTAATAACAATGGTTGATTTCATAACTTTTACATTTAGAATATTAAATAAATAAACAACTCATCAAAATTTCTAGGTAATTTCTTTCTTTAATCCAACCACTTTTGTATAAATTATATTTACTTATAATTATAACTTATATTTTAGATATAAACTGGAAATTCTATCATTTTCATGCAACTGTAAAAATTAATCTCTCGAGATGGGAAAGACTATAATAAATAGTAAATTCTCTCTCAAAAAATTTAACACTTAATAGGACTAAGTATGAACTCAAAATCTCTGGTTTATCCAGTAATCATAGAAAGGAAATTAACATTGATTAACTTACCACTAATATGACAGCGGCAATGATTTTCATTCCCATCACATGAGTCCAAGTGGCCTACAACACTATACCACCAACCTGCCATAAAATATCAATGGTTTAGTACATGGTATTAGAGGTTAAGTTTAGAAGAAATATATCAAAATTATATGGAAAAAGGAACAGACCATAAGGATATTCTTTGTTTTTCCTCCACTGAATCTCTATGTGATCACCAGGATGCAAATCATCTAAACAATCAGAGATATGAAGATCATGTGAACAAGTATTAACAGGAGGTGCTCTTAATCTTTTCCATGGAATGCCACACTCTCTAGCATCTCCTCTTCTTCCATGTGCAGGATACCTGTAATAATAACCAATCAATCAACATCTAAATTTCATTTTACTTTCTTCCTATATCTTCATTTAAAAATGTTTGGTACTCAAATCTATAACCAATGTGAACATATAAAATCAGATCAAATTTACCTACCTTGCTTGAAAGGTATCGGTTTGCGAATCATAGCTAACTTGAGCATCATAGCAAGACAACATGAATCCAACATGACCGTTCTACAAAACAAACATCGATTTATGTTAACCAAATATTTGAACTACATTAATCATCTAGTTGCATAAAAAAAGTATCAAAGGATTTTCATTCATACCTCGCGGTTATAGACTTGAGCAGGGAACCAGAAGCTGCCAGTCTCAATAGCAAGATACCAATTCATAACAGAATCAACAACCAAAGAACTCCTCTTCTTGCAACTATCAATTCCATCATCAACCTTTAATTTCGTCCATTGAAAAGGCCAAAGAATAGAGAAATAACTCATCAAGAAGCCTCTTTGTGTGCCATGTTTAAAATCCTTAACACCCCTTTTGGAAGCAACATACCATTTCCATTCCCTATAAGCAGCTTGATCAATAACTCCACCCCATTTTTTCTTCATGTGCCTCTCCCAAAAGTAATCACTCACACACTTGTCTCTCAAGGAATGGCAAACACCAGCCATATGACAGAGTGATGAAGGAGGCAGCTTTTCAAGTATGCATTCTAAGGTCAGCTCAGGCAAGTCCAACAATGATAACTCTTCAACATTCTCAACTCTTGAACTCAGACTCTTCTTCACCAGAGACATCCTTATATAAACCAATCCAAGATGATTGTTGGAGAATGTTTTCAAAGACAACAAAACTTGGTGAAGCAAAGGAGAGTTTCAAAACTAAAAAATAAAAAGGAGATGCAAGTTATTGTTATCAAGTAAAGTAAGAATAAAATAGGTAGGAAATCTTTTACGGGTCAAATTTGAATTTGGTATTCCTTCCGGTCACTATTATAAACAAAGTTTTTTTTTTTAAATTTATTAAATAATTGATATATCTTATTTAAATAGAGACCAAATATATAAATTATTTAAAGAATCTAAAAAGAGAATTTTTAGTTACAACAGTTATTACAACAGTGATCAGAGAGAATATATGAGATAAAAAAGCCTCTGAAACCTAATGTGGAAGTTAAGACAATCACTTTATTTGTTATTTAAGATAATCAAAAGAAAACCAAAATAAAACATCATTAAGTAGACTAAATTGTGAAGCTAATTTGGTTTCTTCAAACAAACACCTTTTTAAAAATATATTTTGTTTTAATTGATTCAAAGAGAACCCCACAACAAAAAAAGCAGTGGTGGTCTCCTCGCATAGGTTTGAACAGAGCTAATAAGGTTGACAAACCAACCTAGGAATTCGGTGGAAATTGTCCTGACTTGAAAGGTTGAAATATTGTCTTAAGAATTATGGTAGGCAGTAACTGAATTTTATACGATGATTACCTCCATTTATAAATATAATTGACACCATATCTTTTTAACGTGAAACTCTTCAACACATCTCAAATAATAGCTTGGGCTGATATTGGGTGTTTTGCTCTTCAGTGATACTGGTGTAAATCATGTATCTTTATCTAGCATGGCTTATTTTAGAGCAGCATACTCTAAATCTCAAGCCTTCGTAATCCTATTAATCTATATTATTCAATGACTTCAAAAGTCTTAATATTATGGCTGCCTTTAAAAAGGTAAAGAATAAAAATACATCTTTGAAAAACTGGTCTACCTCTTTTTATTGGTTGGTTTTCAAAACATAAAGATAGAAAACAATAGGTTAAGCACTAAACAGGTGGCATTCAAAGAAAGGTTGAGTATTTGTGGTAAAGGTTTCATAGGAAGGTGAAGAAATGTGGGGCACCCAAACCTGATATGAGGTTTTGTGACACCTGGAAAATGAGATTAACAAAAATGGCAAGAATAATGGGGGACAAATTAATGAAAAAAAGATACAACAAGTCTAGATACAAAGGCACAAATCTGAAGAATCTTTTGTGTAAAAGAAATTGATATATTTATATGAGAATAATTTGTTCACGGAACAAATCTTTGGTAGTTGAAATATAAGCAGTGATAGGTCCACAACAACAATGTATAGAGAAAGAGATTAAAAGGATTTGGTGATGAATGTTTAAGGAGGGTGGTAGAGGGTAGGGTAGGTCCTCTTATCCACCTCCTCGTTTCAACAAATTCTTCACCATACCTCAATTAGTTTTTCTCTATTCATAAAATTCATGATGCAATTTAACAAACAGTTAATGGACAACTATTAGGAAATAATAAATAAATAACTAAACACATTTGCATATTTATTTTTGGAATAAGAGAGAGCCAAAGCCCGACACCAAAAAAGCTACACACACTACTTTAGGTGTCGAAACACCAAGAAAACTACATTTGTATTTGAAAACTACAAATTTGTTTTTTATCACTAATTATCAAATAGTTATGTAAAAATAACACACTTATTTATTTTATAAATTTAGGAGTAGTTATTTTGTACAATATGAAAAGAATGGGCGGCTAAGATTGAAATGGGTTTGTTGTGGATGTCAAACGCATTTCTACTCCCTAGATTCGGTGATCCATTCAATTATCCTTATATGAAAAAAAAAAACTAAACAAAAGTACTGAGAATTAATTACTCATTTTTGTTACCTTTTAAAAAATTACATAAACTTTTTATTATCCTTTATAGATTAGATTTATGGGTAATTTATTTTTTATGACGCGTATCAATTAAAACTTGTTATTTAACTTAAAAATTTAAAATTACATATTAATCTAAAATTTTAAAAAATTAAAATGAAATTAAAAAAAAAATATATAATTTGATTTTTGAGTAGTAAGATGTTGGTATGTCAAGTGTGAGTAATGATTCTCACATTTGATGGAAAAGAGGATATTGGAGTTTCTTTAAGTGAGAAAATCCATATACCTAATATTTTAAGGTTTTTGATTAAAATGTGATTTTAAAAATTAATTTTATGTGGTAAAATTTCATTGATGTCATTGAGGGTAAATTACTCCAATTTTATAAGTGATAGCCTAAGCCTCACCTATTTATATTAATACATATATAGAAATAAATATTATCGTTATAGATTGAATTTTGAACCAATAATTTACATTCATTTAACTCAATAAAAACATATTAGAAAATTAGAGATTTGTGTCATTTTAATTAAATTAGAATAATATTTGATTTAAAATAAAATAATAATTTTTAAAAAATATAAAGAATAGAGGTGCAAGGAGAATTGAGGGTGAGAGGAGAAAAGATTAAATTACGGTAAAAAAATAACTAAGTTGAGGGCAATTTTAGTGAGATTGTGAAATTTTTGGAAAAATATGTAAAAGTCTTAGAGCGTGTTGTACCCCAAAATTTGCTCTTTAATTTTAAAAATCAATTGATTCAAGATGCCTCCTCATGCTCCTAGGGTTCTCAATTGCTCAAGAATACTCAAGGGTTTGACCATATAAGCACATCCCCTAAGCAATTGACCTATAACTAGGGTTTTGTGTTTCTCAAAGAAAATTGAGTTTCTAATGCCTTAAACGAGTTTCACGGTTTCTCATATGCTTCAAGATATCCTAATGTCAATTTTCAAGTCTTACATAACAAATTTGCTCAGTCAATTGCTTAGATGAATGAAAATCAATTATATTGGATAAAAAGTCAACTGTAATCAACATACAATCAAACTTCAAGATTTTTGGTCAACATCAAGATTTGAGGTCACATTCATCATTTGGTCAAGGTTTGATCATGATTCATCCAGATTGACTCAAGATTGCTCAAAAGTCAAAAGTTGCTAAATTAGGATTTTGTGGACTTTTCTTAAGGAGAAGTCAACTGAACTTTGACCAAGCATAACTTTCACATGCTTCATCGGAAAATCCTCAACCGAAACCTACCTTTAAGGAAATTCAATTCTCTATAACTTTGTCTCTCTAAGCTCAAGTCTAAAAATACTTCTTTTGAGAGATATGAGCCAAAACATTACAAATCATTTTGAAAGTCAACAAAAGACATTTTTGTCAAGGCAATTCACATCAAGTTAAATACTTAAAATGAAAAAATGATCAACATGAAAGTTGTAGGAGATATCTTGAGATTTCTAAAAAATCTAAGATTACCTTCATATGACAAAATTTGAGAGAGTTATGATTGACGCAAGTTGAGCAATTTTGAGAAAATGCATGAAACCACAATTGAGCAATTTTGGACTTTTAGGCTAATGAGCCTAAATTTTGAAGTTTAAACGTGTTTATGACATGTTTAGGGACCCCTAAGTTCATTCATGCATTATTTTACTTTTCTATTTCATTTATTTTGATTTTATTCATTTAAAATTCAAAATTAAATTAAATAAATATACAGGGCATGTGAGTTTTTGTTTTGGATCATTTTGAAGCCCAAGGTCGCATATCCAACATAATAAAATTGTGAGGGATGAAGAAGGAAAGATATCTTCATGTTTTGGAAAGTTTTGCAATTATTTTGGAAACAAATAATGACTTTGATTGCACATGTTTTCTTCCAAAAATGTTAACTTAAAAAATTATCTATTATAAATAGAGGACACACTCCATAAGACAAAGACACGGATTGGCTTCCATGGAAGCAAGTTCTCAAACACAAAATTTTCAAAGAATTGGTGCAAATCGTATCCCAGTTTTCCAGCCATTCTCAACTGAAACGAAGCCTCAAATTATTATCCTGACATCTCCAGGAACCTCCTCAAGTCCATAATCACGCTCAACCGTGCCCAGAACGCCTCCGATGGTAAGGATTTTCTAATTTCAAATTTCGTAATCCTTGTGTAATTAATAAGTTTCGTATGTCCAAATGTGTTAAATAAGAAACATAGAACAAGTTGGAACCAAACGTGTAAAGAGAAGGGAGAGGGTTCGAACCCCAACGATGTCAAAATCCTTTTTTCTTTACTTTATTCATTTTACCTTTTTTTTATTAGTAATTTTATTATTAATTTACTTTTTTTTTAATCAAAACTTATACATAAAAAAAATCAGAAAGAAGCCATATAATAAAACCAACAAAAAATTAGTTTTAGAGTGTAAATATTTATTTGTTTTTTTTACAATTAGATTTTAGGCTTTTTATTAATTAAAATTAATTAGAATTAGGATTTCAATTATTATTAATTAACACTTAAATTATTTTCATAAAAACACCAAAAATATGAACTTAGATTTTTAGGGCATTTAAACTTTTTTTTTCAATATTTTCTTATTCTTTTTGCTATTTATTTTCTTAGACAATTGTATAGGTCGTACATTTTAATGTAATAGTTTAGATTTACATCCCCGCATTTTTCTAATTATGTAACTCTCCCAAAGCTCTGTAATAGAGTAAATTTATATTTTCGCTTTATCTTTTGCCTTTATATGTTTATTTATATATATATATATATATATATATATATATATATATATATATATATATATATATATATATATATATATATATATATATATATATATATATATATATATATATATATAACTGCTAGTAAATAGGCTTGTATGATAAGAATAAAATGAAACATAGATAACTTTAATTTTCAAGATAACATAACTGAAACCAATACACTTTGCACACTTCACCTCTAGGGTAACCTCTCTTCGTTGCCTTGTGATACTAATGGTCACGTCCCACGAAAACGGGAATACTTTAGCAAAGACCCTTGGTTAAACAATATCATCATGATCCCTTTCAAATAAAGATC